TCCGAAGCCCAAAATGTGAATTCCATCCGCTGGTCATTCAAGATCATTGACAATTTGTAAAATCGCAAATATGAAGCCTCCTGTCTTTCAACAAAATTAGGGATTATTCTAGTGTTAATGACCGAATAATCTAAATTTTATTAAAAATAGGAGGCAAATATTTTCCCACCACATTTCTGTTTCCCCCCCCTTTTTTCTGGACTATTTATGTTATTCAGTTACACATACGGACTCCTAAGATTTGTACAATACTACTTGGTGACTGTCACGGTTCCCGGTTCACTCCTTAGGTGAGATCCCTATGTGCAGTACTATTGATCACCACTCTCCCTGTTTGGTGCTATTCCTTACTTCTAGGAATATTAAGCACTTCAGCTGAAACTCAAAGTTCTTGGTGTTACAATCCTACTAGTTACTCCCCTGTGGAGAACACAGCCCTGGAACCCCAACCTCTTAAAATTGTCAGTGGATTACCCCCTGCTCCTGCCTCAGTCTCCAGACCTCCTCCGAAGCCCAAAATGTGAATTCCATCCACTGGTCATTCAAGATCATCGACAATTTGTAGCTTGGACAGTTTCAGGGGATCTTGGAGTATGTCAAGACTTTTGACTACTGCTAAGGGGTTATTATGGGACTCATGGACTCCCGGAACTTGCCGTTCCTACCTCTCCGCCTGGCAGATCTGGAATAGCTGGTGTGTGGAAAGGGATATTGATCCCTTTTCAGCACCTATAGTTTTCATTATGAATTTTCTGTCCTCACTCTTTGACAAAGGTAAGTCCTACAGGACTATTAACCGCTTTCGCTCTGCTATTTTGGTGGCAGACACTCCTTGTTAGGCACCTTTATAGTCTGGCCTCACCCTTCCCTCAGGGTCAGATCATTGTTTCCTTGTTCCTGTGTCCTCTGGTCTTGTATCCTGTAACTCTGACCCTGCATCCTCTGGTCTTGTATTCTGTGACTTTGTTCCTGTATCCTGTGACTCTGGCTTTGCATCTTGTGGCCTGGTATCCTGTTATTCTGGCCTTACATTCTTTTGGTACTAAATGTATATCCTGTGACTCTGGACCCGAGTCCTGTCTATCTCTCATGATACCTACCCGGTCCTGCCCAACATACTCCATTTAACCTACAAAGACTGTACCCTGATACTCTGCCTGCACATCCCGTGCTAGACCTAGGTCTACTGTATATTTTGTATTGACATTGTAGTATTACTGTAATTTGTTTAGTTATCTTGTGTCATTTTGTTCCATAATATACTTATTTGTACTCTCATTCCTTGTGTTTGTCATTTTTCTCTGCATATTGGGTTTCTGCACTTAAAGGGATATTGCTGTCTCAGGGCAGCACCCCTTCCTACCCTGACAGTGACTTACTTCAACGTTTATGCCTGCATACTTGCTTAATGTCCTATTTCAGTCGTATTATTTGTATGTAACAGATATTTTATAGCATACTTTCACAAGTTTTCTCTCTCTTTTCTCCTAGTGTGAAACATTACCTACTGCTTCAAAGACATCATTCGCATTCCACGACTACCAGGGCCGGACCACCGGGATACCGGGAAATGTCCCTGTGGGCCGTTGGCACCTGGGAACGGGCAGACAGCTGGATGGCCACAGGGGAAGCATTAAGCTTTTCTGGTGGCCGCAGGGGGAGCTGTTCTGTCTCTGCTCCCCCGCCCTCGCACGCTACTTAGTGAGACTGGGACCAGAATATGACGTCATATTCTGGCCCCGGTCTCATTAAGCTGCGCACTGGGGAACAGAGCCAGCACAGCCAGCACAGCCAGCTTCCCCTGAAAGCTGAAAGCTCCCCCTGTGGCCATCCAGCACAGACAGCTGTCTGTGCACGGGTAGCACTAGCAATTATGTGTGTCTGTCTGTGTCATGGTGTGTGTGTCTGTGTCATGGTGTGTGTGTCATGGTGTGTGTGTGTGTCATGGTGTGTGTGTCTGTGTCATGGTGTGTGTGTCTGTCTGTGTCATGGTCTGTGTGTCTGTCTGTGTCATGGTCTGTCTGTGTCATGGTCTGCCTGTGTCATGGTCTGCCTGTGTCATGGTGTGTTTGTGTCATTGTGTGTGTGTGTGTGTCTGTGTCATGTAATGTGTGTCTGACTGTGTCATGGTGTGTGTGTGTCTGTCTGTGTCATGTAATGTGTCTCTGTCTGTGTCATGGTGTGTGTGTGTGTGTCAAGGTGTGTGTGTGTGTCTGTCATGGTTTGTGTGTCTTGTGTGTGTGTCTGTTATGGTGTGTGTGTATGTCTGTCTGTGTCATTGTGTGTGTCTGTCTGTGTCATGTAATGTGTGTCTGTGTCATGGTGTGTGTGTGTCTGTCTGTGTCATGTAATGTGTGTCTGTGTCGTGGTGTGTGTGTCTAGGTGTGTGTGTGTCTGTTAAGGTATGTGTGTCTGTCAAGGTATGTGTCTGTCAGTCATGGTATGTGTGTGTATGTGTGTGTGTCATGCAAACATGTCGTGAATGTGAAACTCTGTGATAAATATTTTGAATACGTGAAATGCCCTATCATAAGTGTCCCTAGTGTTTACTGAGAGTGCCATGTGAGAAATGGGACGTGCGTGATCTAGCAAGGTCTTTAATCCATGATCATGGTATGTGTGTGTGTCATGGTATATGTGTGTGTCTGTGTCTGTAATGGTGTATGTGTGTGTCTGTGTGTGCGCTTTAAAAATAGTGTTTTTACTCACCTTTCCCCCCCCCCCACACTGTGCTGGTCTCCCCTTGACTGGCCTTGCCTCTATGGCTGAGATCATCAAGATTGATGATCTCAGCCAAACCAATGCTTTGCCATAGGATTGGCTGCAAAACGTTACACCAATCAGCATCTCCTCATAGAGATGCATTGAATCAATGTATCTCTATGGGGAACGTTCAGCGCCTCCAGAGCGTGGAGGCCCTGAATGTAGGTGCTGGGCACTGTGCTCTTGTTACCGGGAAACTGACGGAGGCCAAGCACAGAGAGATGGACACAGGTTTCTTCAGGAAGGAAGAGATCTTTATTCGATTCACTGACCGGGACTCAGAGGGACTTATGTCACCAAAAACAGCAAAGATCTGAGTACTGAATACATAGAGTACATTCCTTATATAGCACTGTAGCTTCTCCCGTAATTAGCTACGCCCACACATACCCTTAACCTAATCAATGAATAGAGTCTAAACTCATCCATCCGGTCTAACCACGTGGCTCATCTGAAACAAAGGAGAGGGACGCGTAATTCCAGTTCCTGCGTTCCTGCACATGCTCAGTACAGTGATGACAGTATCTTAGCTACGTGTAACTAACTAACTGATATTACAAACACATGTACCTACATATGCCTTGTGGCAAGCTTGGCCTGCTAAACTTGTATTTTACTGGAATTCCATCACATTCCCCCCTTTGATGCTTCTGATTTAAAATAATTCCAGATGCATCACCATAGTTTGCTTACACCTCAAGTTGCCATAAACCAGACTAGACTTTGCGATCCTCTAAAGATACGAACCCCTCAACATTCCTCTTCCTGCATGTATTCTCCTTGATCTAGAGCTTCATACCTGCAAACAGCCATTACCTGTGCTGCGGCCTTTCTTTCTGCTATACTTTCTATAATACTCTGCATAGACCTAATTACCAAAGGAATCAGACATGGCAGAAGGAGACACAACATCAACATCAGTATGACTCCACCTACCAATGCCTTGATTCCTCCAAACTGCTCATACCAACTACCAAACCAACTACTCGGATTATACCCTTTCAATACCTGAGTAGGTACATGTGCTAGCTTAACCATATGGCTAGTAAGCTCAGCTATTGCTTGCACTTCATCATCTATTTGAAGACAACAATTGCTTAGATTAAACGTCCCACATACACCTCCCTCTACTGCCAATAGGTAATCCAAAAATAATCTATTCTGGTAGATGGCTGTCCTCATCCTAGTGTTATGCTTCGCTAGGAGATTGAGCGCTTGTGATGTTTCATTGGTAACTATCTCAACTACTGCTTGCAATCTTATAATATGATTAAGCATATATATTGGGGTTCTGTATCCATAAGTACCATCCTCTGCCCACGTAGCTGGCCCATAATAATCTATAATACGCTGGGGAGGCCACTCATCATCTTCCCAGGTACCTATCTCTAGGGGTGCCCTTTTCTTCCTATGATTTACATCATATACTTTAACTCCCAAAGTCTCTCCTGTTTCAATTGGCAACAAAAAGAAGGATGGTTTGAGCATACCCAATACACATGCCCCTTCCCAGTCCTGTGGTAACTCCGAATATGCTTTCTTACCACAAATCCAGTACAAATTTGCTGGGGCTTTCCAACTAGATGTAGCAGATAGGTCAAACCATACATCCTTTAAATTGGTATAATTTGCAAACGGATTAGACGGTTCTGAGACATTTGAAGCTGACCACCAAATAGTATCCTTTGTATCGTCATTATAGGCTTTCTGCCCTAAACAAGTCAATTCTCCTACAGATGTATTAAACACTATTCCTTTCCTTGCTATACAAACATAACCTATAATGGAGGTCTTTAATCGCCACTCAGATTTACCTCTAACACTCACTTGATAATCAGATTGAGAAGATATTAGTTGTTCAACTGTCTCAGAACCAGAATATATAACCTCCTTTGCTTCCCAAGGCCATTGGTCTCCCATACACATAGCAGTTGGTTACATTAAGACTACCAGCAATGCTCTCAGCTAGGTCTATGAATACGTTTTTGGCATTATGGGGAACCTTATCTTCCACACTCATCTCCTCATAAAAAGAATGGAAAACCTGATGAGTTTGGGGGGCCACTGTATCTGTCTCTATTCCTATGTATAATATCGTCCCAGGATCCAAACCTGTTCCATATATTTGGAATCCAAATAGATTCCCAAGCTTATCTATAAATAGCTCTGGGTCCTTGATAAGTATATGGACTGGGTTACACTCCATAGACTTACAATATGGCTTGGTAGGCAATCTAGTGATAATCATATCCTTATCTACTGTCTGTCCCCAGGTTGCCCATCCCACACAGGACCAATACGGACAATAATTATAGTCTTTATTTAGGCAGTTTGGATCTATATACTTATGCTTATTACTAGGACAAATATACTTATCATTAGACCCATACGTTCTTTCCCATTTAATACCACCACATACATTCCATGGCTTCCTACTACCTGATATCGCCTTACATGCATCAAATAGCAAAACACCTGGAGAATGTACGCTTTCTAGTACAGTCTTATTTATCAGGTTCCCCTGTGCGTTCTCATTCCAAATAGTCAACCAAATTGTACGGGGCTGATACTCAGGATTAAAACACCTAGGTTCTCCTGCTCCTATATGGCATACACTATAATCTGTACCTAGGTATCTACACTTTGATACATGTCCTGTGCACTCATATTGCGAATGCCAAATAAGGGTCTGGGAAATACGATTGCCTGTTTTCGTAGTCTTAATGCAAACCTCGCAGCCTGGTGTGTCGGTACCTCTACCTTCCTGAATAATTAAAAACACACATATATACATCATGAAACACATTACTCCTGACATCTTCTTCCTAATTCTTCGACCGTGCGACGGCACCTCAGCTTCCAGGCGTGTGAGGGCTGCAGGGAATGGAGTCCTTCTGATCCTCACTGTTCTTCACAGAGGATTCCTCTGGCTTAAACGTTGGTAGGTGGTCAGGCTTTATTGTGGCCGTCAAAACACCTACTTGTAGATCTTTGTTGATGTTCCCTTGTAACAATACTCTTCGCAAAAACCACTTTTAATCTAACTGGGTCACTCGCTTCAACCGGATCTTGCAGGGATTCTCAGGACCTTGAGTAGCTTGCCAAGAATCTGCTGCTGGTTTAACCCTGGAGTGATGAATCCACGGAGTCACCTCTGCCACCTTTATAGCTGTTGGAGTAGACAAAAGAACAGCATAAGGACCCCTCCACTTTGGCCCCAACAGTACACTGTTCCACTCCTTTATCCAAACCTGGTCTCCTGGATGGTAAGAATGGACAGGTGGATAAATATTTACAGGTAACCTATCTTGTACCCATTTCTGTACCTCCTCCATAGTTTTACCCAACTCTACAACCTGCCGCCGGGTAATTCCTTCTCCCAACTGACTCAAGTCCCCCCTTAAGTTACTAAGTATGGGAGGTGGACGCCCATACATAATTTCAAAGGGTGATAGACCTAACTTTCTGGTAGGTGTACTACGAATGCGCAACAGAGCTATTGGCAAAAGAACATTCCACTTGAGTTGGGTTTCTTGACACATTTTTGCCAACTGGGTCTAATGGTTCTGTTCATCCTTTCCACTTTCCCAGAACTCTGAGGCCTATATGCTGTATGAAGTTTCCACTTAATACCAAGCATATGAGTCAGTTGTTGTAGGCACTGATGGACAAAAGCTGGACCATTATCTGATCCTATAGAACACGGTAGTCCATATCGGGGTATTATTTCTCGCAACAGAAATCGCACAACTTCTCCTGCTTTCTCTGTACGAGTTGGACACGCCTCTACCCATCCTGAGTAGGTACACACAGCTACTAGTAGGTAACGATGTCCGCCGGATTTGGGCATTACCGTGTAGTCTATTTGGAGATCGGACATAGGAAGCCCTCCCATGTACTGGACTCCCGGTGGTTTCACTGGACCTTGCCTTGCGTTGTTCTTGGCACATGACACGCATCTTCGAACAATGGCTTGAGTCAAGTTGGACAATATTGGTATGTAGAAATGCTTCCTAAGAGATTCTTCTATACTATCTCTTCCAGAATGTGTCCCATTATGATAATTCTGGACAATTTCTACAGCTAGCGATGGTGGAATAACTATTCTTCCATCTTCTAACTGATACCAATTATTCTCCAAATATTTCCCAGCTTCAATTACATAGTTACATAGTTACATAGCTGAAAAGAGACTTGCGTCCATCAAGTTCAGCCTTCCTCAGAAATGTTGTTGCTGTTGATCCAAAAGAAGGCAAAAAACCTGGTCTGAAGCACTTCCAATTTTGCCACAAACTAGGAAAAAATTCCTTCTTGACCCCAAAATAGCAGTCAGATGTCTCCTTGGATCAATCAGCTATTACCCCACTAATTAGAAATTATATCCCTGTATGTTATGTTTTTGTAAGTATTTATCCAATTTCAGTTTAAACATCTGTATGGACTCTGACAAAACCACCTCTTCAGGCAGAGATTTCCATATCCTTATTGTTCTTACTGTAAAAAAACCTTTTCTTTGCCTTAGATGAAATCTCCTTTCTTCCAGCCTAAATGTGTGACCTCGTGTCCTATGTATAACCCTGTTTATGAATAGATTTCCAGATAAAGGTTTGTACTGGCCCCGTATATATTTGTATAAAGTTATCATATCCCCTCTCAGGCGCCGTTTTTCCAAACGAAACAGATTTAATTTTTGTAACCTTTCTTCATAACTAAAATGCTCCATTCCTTTTATCAATTTTGTAGCTCGTCTCTGGACCCTCTCCAGTGCCATGATATCCTTCTTTAGAACAGGCGCCCAAAATTGCACAGCATATTCAAGGTGTGGTCTTACCAGCGATTTATAAAGAGGCAAAATTATATTTTCATCCCGAGAATTTATGCCCCTATTTATACATGACAAAATCTTACTGGCCTTAGCAACTGCAGATTGACATTGCATATTGCTGCCTAATTTGTTGTCTATAACAATGCCCAAATCCTTCTCGTGTGTGGTTATCCCTAATTCACTACCATTTAGTGTGTAAGTTGCTTGTGCATTCTTAACCCCGAAGTGCATAACTTTGCATTTCTCTATGTTAAATTTCATCTGCCATTTTAGTGCCCAGTCCCCCAATCTATCCAAATCTCTCTGCAACAAAGCAATATCCTGCTCACATTTTATTACTTTACAAAGTTTTGTGTCATCTGCAAACACTGATACATGGCTTTCAATGCCTATTTCAAGATCATTTATAAATATGTTAAATAGAAGTGGTCCCAAAACAGAACCCTGAGGGACACCACTTACCACTTTTGTCCAGCCTGAAAATTTACCATTAATGACAACTCGTTGTCTTTAACCACTCTACTTCTTGAGCTGTATAAACTGGAGTCCACTGGGACAGAGGGGTCGGTATAAGAGTTGCTACACACTCCACATATTCTTTTTGTCCGGATTCAGCGGCACGCTTAGCTGCACTATCTGCCATCCGATTTCCTTCACCACATCACCATCACCTTTCAGATGTGCTCGGCAATGTATGATACCAACTTCCTTCGGCTCCCATACAGCTTCCAATAGTTGTAATATCTCAGCTGCGTACTTGATTTCTTTTCCTTCTGAGGTCAGTAATCCTCTTTCTTTATACAAAGCTCCATGGGCATGAGTGGTTAAAAACATGTACTTTGAGTCTGTGTAGATATTTACTTTCAACCCTTCAGCCAATTGCAAAGCCCGTGTAAGTGCGATTAATTCTGCCTTCTGTGCTGATGTTCCTTTTGACAATGGCCGCGCTTCTATCACCTTGTCTATAGTTGTCACTGCATATCCGGCATAGCGAATCCCTTCTTTCACGTAACTACTGCCGTCCATGTAATACTGAACATCGGGGTTCTGGATGGGAAAATCATGAAGGTCCGGTCTACTTGAGAACACTTCATCCATTACCTCCAGGCAATCATGTCGTCTCTCAGTAGGTTGCGGCAAGAGGGTAGCTGGGTTCAAGATATTTACAGTCTCAAGATGCACTCTCGGGTTCTCACATAACATGGCTTGATACTTAGTCATGCGGCTATTGCTAAACCAGTGATTACCTTTATAGTCTAGCAACGTCTGTACTGCGTGCGGGACTCGCACATAGAGTTCCTGACCCAAAGTGAGCTTGTCAGCTTCTGCTACCAACAGGGCGGCGGCAGCTACGGCCCTTAGACAAGGAGGAAGACCACTGGCTACTGCATCCAGTTGTTTGGACATATACGCAACAGGTCGTTGCCATGATCCCAGATACTGTGTCAGTACTCCCACAGCCATCCTTCTTTGCTCGTGTACATATAAGTAGAATGGACGTGTATGATCAGGTAGACCTAATGCGGGGGCGCTCATCAATGCCTTCTTAACATCCTCAAATGCCTTCTGCTGTTCGATGGTTCACAGGAAGGAATCATGTTCCGTGCCTTTAATAGCGGCATAGAGGGGTTTCGCCAGTATCGCATAACTGGGAATCCATATCCTACAGAAAGCCTGCTGCCCCTAAGAATTCTCGCACTTGTCTTCTATTCTTAGGTGTTGGTATTTGGCATACAGCCTCTTTTCTTTCAGGCCCCATTATCCTTTGACCTTCAGAGATATGGAATCCCAGATACTTGACAGTTGGCTGACACAACTGAGCTTTCTTCCTGGACACCTTGTATCCTGCCTGCCAAAGAATGTGCAGTAAATCATAAGTTGCTTGCTGGCATATCTCTTTAGTAACTGCCGCTATCAACAAATCATCCACGTATTGTAGTAGTACACATTCTCCTGGGATGGACTTGAAATCTAATAAGTCCTGACTTAATGCTGATCCAAATAGGGTAGGTGAATTTTTAAACCCTTGGGGCAATCTTGTCCAGGTCATCTGACGTTTCGAGCCCGTTACTGCATCTTCCCATTGGAATGCAAAGATACACTGGCTTTCTGTAGCAATTCGTAGGCAAAAGAAGGCATCTTTAAGGTCCAAGACTGTAAAGTAAGTAGCCCCACCGGGAATCAAGGCAAGCAGGTTATAAGGATTGGGCACAACTGGATGTATACTTACTACCGCATCATTGACTGCTCTCAAATCCTGCACAGGACGATACTCATCTGACCCAGGCTTCTGAACAGGCAACAATGGAGTATTCCAGGGGGAAGTACAGAATTTTAGGATACCATACCTTATGAACTTATCCAAATAAGACTGTATGTTCTTCTTCGCCTTTTGAGGTATATGGTATTGTCGCAGGCTTACTGGATAAACCCCAAGCTTTAGTTCGATGCGTATAGGTGGGATATTGCGAGCAAGTCCTGGTGGGTTATTTTCTGCCCACACTCCTGGTATATTATACAAGGATTCATCACTCTTAGGGTTTTGACTTGTCATCACTGTATAAAGTAGCCACTCTTCTTCCTTTGGTACTGATAGTGTCATTATACCTGAGGGTCCATTAAACTTCAAGGATGTCGTTCCGTTAGGCAGAAATGTTATCTGTGCTTGTAACTTCGACAACAAATCCCGTCCTAGAAGTTGGACTGGACATTCAGGCATGTAAAGGAACTGATGTTTCACTACGTGGCCTCCCAGTGTACAGAGTCGACTTTTGAGAACCGGTTTAGCAGCACTCCTCCCAGTTGCTCCTATTACAGTGATAGTTCTTCCTGAAGGAGGAGCAACTAGGTCGGTTACCACAGAATGTTCAGCACCAGTGTCGATCATGAAAGAACTCCTTTTTCCCCCTATTGCTACATCGACCATAGGCTCCGCTCGACCAAGGGGGATGGAGCCCGGTCGGTATCAATAGTCCTCCATGACAGTGTCAGCCAAACCCACAAAGTCCCTATCTTCTCTTTCTCGCAGTCTCTGCGCTGCTGGGTAATACCTATCCCCTTGAACAATGGACATCAATGGACACTCACTCCTCCAATGCCCTTCTTCCCTACAATATCAAATCCGGATAGGTGGGGATAGGTAGGTACCGGAAGGGGAGGGTTTAGAACAAGTGGGCTGGGCTCTGAGCTAGAGGATGGGGTAGGAGGAGACAATGGGGCAAGGGGAGTGGCATTACTAGCCGCACCTCCTCTTCCTCTTCCTGTAGAGGAGGAGTAAGGGGGCGGTAAAGGAATCTCTGACTCAGGGGGCGTGTCCAGAATGGGCGTGATCACGGCCTTGGTGGACAAACGAGTTCTGGCCAACAGGAGGCAGCATTGCTCCTCTTGGCACACCCTGATCCATTTTAGCAAGTCATCCACGGCCTGTTTCCAACAATCAATATATGGAAACTGGTCGTAAAGTTCCGGCCTACCAGATACAGCTATGTGTACACGCTGCACTAGATTAGGATCAAGACTACCACGTGGAGGCCATGCAACCACTAAGGCAGGCCATTCCCTGCTACATAAAGTAGTCAAACGTGTTGGAGACATCTTTACCCCAAAATCACATACATTATATCCCTTTTTAAAATTCTTTAACATGCAATCTAAGGGATCAACGATCTTTGAATCCAACGCACCCATACTTAACAATGGAGCGTCGTCTCCAATAGAAACAAAACAAAATACACTTCCAACAGTCACACCCGTTTCCCTTGGCAACAGCACCACGTGGCACAGTTACTAGGCCAAACGCACACAACAAATCATACAGGGAATTCCCGTACACACACAGCTGTTACACCACACACTAAATAACTATTACTGTACCTTTTTTGGCGAAATTATACAATTACCCACGCTATAATTCTCAGTATTTAAATTACCCGTCTATAACACACCCTAGTAACATTGTCTTTACACACAGTAGTTATAGTACGGTTAGCATTGGTTAGAATACAATTTTAAAGTCACAGGTCAGTTAATAGTAGTTATGGTGTTAAACATACAACATTAACGACAGTTATTAGTGATTATTTACAGTATCAGTGATTATAATACATGGTTATGGTACCGTGCGCTATGATACAGTTACACACTATTCACACTCTCGCTAGACAGCAGAGCTCACGCTACCCAGCAAGATATACACTCTACTATAATAAATTTTAACACATTTACAGTTTCCCAACTGATCTATTGGACAGTACCTCGAGGGACTACCTAAAACTATTTACATCCGTTTTGGTTAGCCGTCGCTGCCCAAGCACCACATATAGCGAACTAGAGGGCGGAATTTACAACAATACCCTTTTAGTCTATCTACTCTATCAATAGTCTAGTGGGTTCCAAATTTACACGCCTTCCCACTTAGCCAAGATAGGTTGAGAACTAGCAAACGATAATGTACACCAGAGTCTGCTTAGTCTCCCGGTCCCTCCGACCTAGCGAACGAAATGTACACCCTAGATACGCTAGTCTAGACAAGACACCGGTGTCCGGCTTGGGCTATATACATTCAACCAAGACCCAGCCTGACTCCATACCAAGATTAGACGGGCTGACTACAG